GTTCTTTGGTCAGGCTCAGACATAGATACACATATTATCTGCAGTCAACAATAATCGTTTATGCAAACGGAAATGTGAGACTTACTACCAAGATCACCAGCAAGCACTTCATATTCTTTGGTGCTACTTACTTTTTCACCACTGCAGCTCATTGGTATTTATACAAACGGCGGGTGACGACAAAGCGTCCACATTGAATTTGCTGTGCCGAGTACTGTACTTTTTCATAGCAGGTTTTCGTGCTAACCTTTTTCGATACCATCCACCCTCGTAATATGTTCAATATTGCAGTCACTGTGAGTTTTTGGAGGATTTTTCTGCCATTTTTTATGGGAAAAGTATTAAAGCGGCTGGTGTAGTTAAAGCTGGAAAAAATGTGATGTGTATATGTTTGCAAAGTGGTACCACATGTTACGCGCTTTATTACGTTGCTACTAGTTATGTATACATCTACGTGATATACTGAACATTCCGAAAGGCAGAACATTGACATCTTTCCTAATGTCATGCCACCAAAAAGTCCAAAATGACCATTACATCCTTTTTGTGGGGGTCGGCAAACATAATTTCTAGGCAATAACTGAGATCTTTTGTAGGGTAGCCGTGTTTCTAACAGCAAATGTCTGTAATTTTCTGGTTCTAAGTGACTAAAGCTTTCTGAGCAACAGTTTCGCATTTCTGCTTTTGTTGGCTTATAGAAGACTAGCTGGCTTACCCGGCTCCGCCGTATCCGGACCAAACTTGGCACACATACACTTCGGGCCCCGGCGGGTGTCACAGTCCACTTTTCGTTATCGATCGGTGTCGATTTTACCGATTTTTATCGATTTTTTTGCAGAGTTCACCTACAGGGCTAGGAGTTGGCACAGGGGGGAAGTGAGCATGGGGATTCCGAATACAATATTAGTTTTCAGAATTATCGATTACTTTTCTTGATTTTATCGATTTTTTGTAAATTTTGACATGCGAGGCTGGGATTTTGCACAGGAGGGTAATCGAGCATGCTGATTACGAACACAATATTAGTTTTCAGGATCGTCCATTACTTTTATCGATTTTATCGATTTTTTGAAAATTTGAGCTAGGGGACTGGAATTTGGCACAGGGGTGTAATCGAGCATGCTGATCACCCCCCTTGGGAGTATCAGATGCTCGATTACCCCCCTGTGCCAACTCTCAACCCCCTAGCTCAAACTTTGCAAAAAAATCGATAAAATCGATAAAAGTAATCGATAATCCCGAAAACCAATATTGTATTCGGAATCCCCATGCTCGATTACCCCCCTATGCGAAATCCCAGCCCCGTAGCTCAAACTTTGCAAAAAAATCGATAAAATCGATAAAAGTAATCGATAATCCTGAAAACCAATATTGTATTCGGAATCCCCATGCTCGATTACCCCCCTGTGCCAACTTCCAGCCCCGTAGGTGAACTCAGCAAAAAAATCGATAAAAATCGATAAAATCGATATCGATCGATGACGAAAAGTAGCCTATGACACCCGCCGGGGCCCGAAGTGTACGCGTGCCAAGTTTGGTCCGGATCGGTTCAGAAATGGAATTTTCTATTCGGAACATACGTACACACAGACATACAGACATACAGACATACAAACAGACATTCAGCTTTATATATAAGATACTAATTGGTTACAACATTCTGATCGTGCCGGCCGTTATGTTTATTGTCACAAGTCACGAAGTGTCAGTGATGAAAAGACAAGGCATTTGGTAAGGAGGTGGTCAGGAGGAACCAAAGCCCTTGCCGACTGTATCCAAGGGGAATAGTGGAAGGCAGAGGAGGCTCCGTCCATCGCTCTGCCCACTGGATGCTCCCATTGTGTGTTGAGCAAGAATGGTAGATGCACTACCAGATATTGATCAAATTTGATGGATTAAGAGGTTAAGCCATGAAGTTGGAATTTGGGAAATGGACAGTAAAGATTCTCAAACAGGTTTTCAGGTACCAGGATGATAATAAAAGTAGTGCCATGTCATAAACCTAATAAATATTGATTCGAAGCGGGAGAACATAAACCGAAAATGAAGTTTCAAAGTGATTTTAACAATATTTTCAACATAGAGCCTAATACTACATCCTGGATACTCATATCCAAAAAGGACGTAAAATGCAAATGCCATCTTATGCGTGAGAGGAGGCTCAATAAAGCTTTAAAGCTTCACAGCTCAGATTTGTAGTGTGAACCAAACCTGGACAACCTTATCCTGCTGGCAGTTGTCGAGGCATAGGTTTAGAGAAGTGGGACAATATCTACTATAAATGGGGAAAAACTAATGAAAACTAATTTAACTGTTATGAGAGAAAAGTTTTGGTGACTTTGCCTGCTTTTGCAGCTTTCTGCCCGAGTCTGATTCAACTCGAAAACTTTTGCTAACTAATTTGACATCTACTTTCGCAAGTTCACTCAATTAAAAGACTTTTCAACGCTTTTCTCGAGAGTTTTTCTCACCCTTTCCCTCCCCCCCCCCCCCCTGCCCCCCTCCCTACCCCTCCCCGAATAAAATATTTATTGGAGTTAACAAAGAATAAAGTTTTCAACTGAATCATGACTTTCTTGGCTCATCAGACGACTGGCTTGATCCTGCAAAGGTCAACTAATCGGCCATCGATTAGCACAAATGCAACTAACGCAGTGACTATCGTAAAAGATTGAGAAAATTATCTCAGGAAAATGAAATGCAATTTAGGTTAAGTTGTCCGCGAAGCAATTTAAAGATCCATGAAATATTTGAAATCGAGCCAAAGCTCTTACCTCTCTAAAAATTGTTCATCAGTTCCAGTCTTTAGAAGAATGCTAGGATTGCATTGATGTGAATGAATTCATACAAAAGCCCATTTAAAAGATTCGTTTTCCAAAACTGGTCACAAACTTGTTTTTCCCTTCCTTGTATCGCCACCTCAGGTCTTTTGAACTAGCCTTTTTCTTCAGGAAATTCCTGAGCAAAAAAGGCAAAACCCAGGCTCAGCGCGAAGGGCGGAGCTTGGAAGGTTGCCAGGTCCTTCTTGGCACGCAGCCACCTCCTCCCCTTTTCACCTTGGATACAGGGATCAAGGGCTCTAGTTCCTCCTGCACCGCCGCCATTTGGTAATACTCTACAGGTCCTTTAGTTCACTTGACATCGTCAAGGCGACTGTATGATATGAGCTACGAGCGGCTCATATGAATTTAAAGGCAGCAGCTCGCCAAAACCGAACATCCCGGCATTTTGACATGGGAGGTTGCTCGCACCCTAAACATGAGAACAGAGCAGGTCCGAGCGCACAGCTTGCTGTCCTTGACTAGAAAACCCCGTTACGCGCAGACCATTTCAATCCACGCGGACGAGCTTGCGATTCTCTCTGACCCGTCAGAGAAGGCATGCCGCAGTGTTCTAACTGCAAGGGTGTCGCAACGATTCTGCTTCTCTAACCATGAGGAGACATGCCCCACTCGTCCAAATTCAAAAATGGAGGCCTTGGAAAATGCTGGTTTCTGCCAATTTTCTTCAAAGTAGATCCTCGGAATCAGTGCCTCCAATTACCCCACGTAAGCAAAAAACTCCAAGTCGAAAATTTGCCGAGCCGCTGCCTTTAACTTGATTAATGCTTATGTTCTCTCTGCCAAGATACAAATCTACCGCTTTTCAGCGGTGGTTTCATACCATTGCTGACAGGTCTGCGATCATTGCACAATTGGGCTTGCTTTCAACGACAATTAGGTCTACACATAATCGAAGCATCCGGCTAGGTCTCGCGCAAAGATCAAATGAATTAAAGACAGAAAATGAACTCAAAATTTCACAGAAAGGTTCTCGTCAAAGTCTTTAGAATGTTACAAAGAGAGATATCGAATGGCAAAAGTAACTTCAAAAAATTTAAGTCTTCGAAATCAGATTAAAATGCTGACTTTGCACACTTGTAATCTGCATGAACGTTTGAAAGTGTGGACTCAATGATGTTTAAATAAATTCTGTGCTATGAAACCCGGTTAAGGAGAGCATGATTGGCATGGCGTTAAGTGTACCGACTATAAAAATACGTTTACCTCCAAGACAAAAATAAATATTTTGAAACGATTTTTGAGTGCATGTGTCGTAGATTATCTAAATAATCTACAACCTTTATCACTATAGATTCATCCTACATATTATACTTAGTATATGGCTTGTCGTTGACAAACCTTACTGTTCACTGACCACTTAAGCCGCAGGGTCACCCACCCACTGTGCTTGATAGTCTACTTGGCGGCGCCTACTTTCATGTAGGCAATCCTTGTTTCTGTATGATTGCTATTTGCCAGAAGCGAACATTCAGGTTATCCACGCCCAAAATAGTGGTATAAAAGGTCCTGAATACTCAGTTCTGGTGTTGGTTCGATTACTACCACTATCGTCAGCGGCTGTTCCGCATATTCACTGTTGATAGTCAGCGGCTGCTCCGCTACTATCTAATAAACAGTTATTAACGTAGTGGTACAGCTTGGTGTATACCAAAGCATGACAAGCTCAATAAGGCATACCTAATATCAAGTTGGAGGATAATTTCTGTTACACTTTTTTTTGTAAAATTGTGAAAAATTGCGGAAGCTTTCTTGAATCCTCAAATTTGCTCCATATATAGGGCACGACAGGGCCCACTCAACAGCATGGCTGATGCCGTAAATACACAAATAGCCAACAAGTTTACGACAGTTTTGTAAGCACACTCAAAATTGTCATTTTCCCTCAATTTTTTGACATCTAATTGCGTTATTTCTTTCCTAAAACTTTTCCAAAACATATTTTCGTACTGTTTATATGGCAGCACTTTGATGCCGCTGGCACGTCAAAAACGAGAAGTGAAAAATAGATAAAAAAATCAAAAATTGATCGAAAAATTTTCTTTCTGTGTGCATCTTACATCTGATACAGGGAGATTGAAAATACTTTTTGTAGATTTTTAAATATTGTTCTTCGCGTTAAAGTGCGAATGTGCGGTGGCATGGCGCACCATGTAATTCATGGTATGCTGACACGATGGTCCATCCCCTAGTTACTTACTTGTGTAACTTTTTGTTAGACAAAAGCTCAGATCATTGTAATACTTCTTATTGATTCTCTACTTATTTTTTAAAGATATCTGATGTAGAAGTTGAAAAGACGCTACTTAAAAATGGCATGGCCAATGTATGTCAGTTGTTCACTTCCAATGATGTAAGTTTCCATCGTAAGCAAGTTTATTATGAAGCTTCACATCATATGTACCAATGCAGTGTTTGATTTAGATAGGTGGTGTAAGAGTCGCAAGTGTACTATACGAAAAAGGCACTAAATTGTTTGTTGTGGGTATATTGCGTTTCTTCTCTAACGAACATGGTACGTTGTCTTCATTGATGATTTTGAGTTAGTGATAATTTTGGGTTATTACTATCGGTAATTGAAAGGTTGGCCTTGACTTGCCAAGATTCTTTTCATTGGTGGATTTGGTTGTTTCCAGGTATACTAATGCTATTCAATGTTCATTGAGCTTGTAGACAAGTTAGAATTAAAGCCTTCTGCTTTGAAGCGAAAATCGCAAGACTTTATTTTCAAAAGGCGATTTGCTAGTTTTTTAGAGGTTTGGACTTGTCTCTAGAACGTCCCTGTATCTATTGCTCCTAGAACGTACCTTCAAGGCTTCGTTTTGGTATGGAGCGGGTCATGTGATGCTGCCGGTTTCCCTGCTGATTATATTTTGAAAACGGAGTAAAAATCGAATTTTCATATTCATATGACTTTTGTGGTTGTGTTGGTAAACTGCATGTTCATAAAGGCGCTTCCGGCATTTGGTACTCAAGTATTTGGTGACAAAGCTCAAAGTCTAACTTCTACGTTCAATGTCAATGATGCAAATTATGCGCACACAGGACGTGGAAAGATTGGTTGGTGAATTATATTTCCTGTGGTTTTGTAATTATGCGAAGATATACTCTTCGGTTGTAAATCTTATTCAAACGCGTGTTTAATTTTGTCGGTTTCTGAATCTTATGAGTGTTGAAAGACTGAGTGTCATTATCAGCCAATTATTGATTAACGAATTTTTGACAGATCATGGATCTTTTTTAGCGGGAGCGTTGTAGTTATGGTTCCGTTGGTTTGTCAAAAACTTTCACTAGCCATGTAAGTGTCTGTGGTTTTTATTATAAATTATAATAGGATATCACATACAACAGAGAACTTCAATATTGTTTTAACTAGGTCTTATCGTTAATGAGTGTGTAGTTACTGCATAAAGATTTGGAGGTTTTGATCCGAGATGGACATCTTTGCACAACAAATGACGACGATCACTATGTCCTCATCAAGCGATATCTAACTTTTCTATTCTTTCCATTTCATCCGTTTGCTACATTGCTTTTCTTCATTTATGTATCTGTGTGGAGCAAATTACTACAATTTGTATATGGTTGTTTCTGTCAATTCTATTTGGATTGTTGCTTCATTTGTCGTACGGTTTTATTTTATACAATAATAATAATGTTTTATTTGTCAGACGATTATGTAATTTAAATATATAAAAATAAACGTATATCTATCTATTGTAGAAAGTTGTACTGGAGTGAGATTCAAAGTGGTTGCTATGGTTTTTCAAACGTTTACTGGTATCTTTCCGATTGTCTCTTTGAAATGTGGGCGTTTTTTTGCATATGGCAACACTTGCTGTAAAGCGCAAGTCAAATCGGGACTCTGCTACAAATGGAGAGCTTAAGTTATCGACGGTGTTTTTCCAATCGCTTTGAATGGTTATAGAATTGTGCCGATTCTATACTTTACAACGTTTTTTGTAGTACGATGGTATCACTCCAAAACGTCCCATCCTTCAAGTTTTGGCATTATTTTGTAATTTGTTTATTTTGAGTTTGTTTGAACGTTCCTAAGCTTGCCAAAAAAGTGACCAAAGGCACGGTGGGGTTACCCAAAATCATGCCTTCAGATGAGGTTGTCGGACGGTGCCTTTTAACTCTGGTAAGTATGAGCTTCAATTGAACAGTACTGTCTGTCCCAATTTTATTCATGACATGGTGGAAGTTCGTGTCGTTAGGGTGTCTCACATCTAGGGCCGGCTTGTCTGCCCTCGACTGTTCACGCATGCAGTGCAAATCTTTAGCGCTGCGACTGTATAAGTCTATGTTGATGGTTCGTTTGCTGTCCCGAAACGTGTTGTATCCTAAAATGGAGTTTCGTTCTTTAGTTAGAGTTTGTTTGTATAAGTAAACAGTTAATGTAAGTTTGAAAAATTATTTTGCAACTTATGGTTTTTGATAAATTTTTAGGAGTTTTTCTTCCCAAACAATTGGAAGAGCAATGTGCTCGTGATAGTTTTGTTGGAAACGGTGATAATGGTGGGAAATAGCAGTGAACAAATTGCGTATCGAAAGTGACTGTTGAATCGGTAGAAAGAGCTATGCGAATCCAGGGCAAGTGTCTTGTTTTATTTTTGTATAAATTATCGGTTTATATTTCTAGAATTCCTATGCTGGTCATTAGCAGTTACGAATTATTGTCACGTAGACATTCTGTACTTTATAAAGGAATCAATCACGAAAATAAGGTTAATAAGATGTTTGTATTTGTATCTTGTTTGTACTCTTAATTAAAGGTTGTAAACACAGGATGTGTTTGCGAATTTTTCACCGCTTCAATCATATTCAGTTCCTTGGAAGAAATCTTACGTTATTGGTATGACCATGATTGTAAGATTTCTTTGTGTATGAATGCAAATTCACCTTTGATTAGTAAATTCTTGCAAAGGAGGAGCTTTCCTTTATTAGTAATAGTTGTCTTGTCACATCCACATTTCTTAGCAGCATAACTATTGATTCAATTTTCATGCGTAATAGATATTGTGGCAGCGCTGCTACATTATCTTATGGAAGTACTCCTCGTTGTCACATGGGAGCCTGCTTAAACCATCCCCCACCACGGAAGGTGTATCAATCCCAGCAAAAGACAGAGTCCTTCCAGATGTTTTTTAAGATTTTGATGTTTAATTCTTCTACATCACAGTTGCGCACAGTTAACAGCGCAACCTTCGCTAGTATGGGTAAGTCATTTGGTACTTCAGATGTGTAAATCCAGTTGATAATTTCGTCTTCTGTAGTCATACACATGTTTAGCGGCAAAGAATATTATCATCGTTGCAATAAATTTTTCCGGCACCCACGAAAAGAAGCCATCGTGCGTAGTCTATCTCGCTTTCATCTAACCTTCAATTTTCGTCGAGCAGAAATGTGATGAAGTGTTTCCAAAGATGACTGCTTTCGCAATTTGTACCTATATGTAGTTTCTTGTCTTCTGCCACCTTGTGTAACCGGTGGGAACTGACACCAATCCCCTCCTAAAATAATAGTAACTCCTCCAAAAAGAACATTGAGCCAATGAAGGAGCAGCAACATCTCGCAAATGTCGCTCGACACATTCCGATGCATAACGAGACTGCATTGAAATTTTGTCCCCATGCAATTACATCAACTGTATTTAATTGACGTGACGCTTCAGCATTAGCAGTTGACAAACCATGAAGCCGTTTTAATGGAAGGCAAAAGAGACTATGCGCTGTTCTACCGTAAGTGGCCGCTATACGAGTAGAGGCATTTGATAATACTTTTTTGCCATCCGCTTCCAGTAGTCCGATCAAAGCGTTAAGTATATGTGTTCCACAGCATCCTGCTTTTTCCGCCGATATAGTAGGCTTATTACCTGATTGCTACAGTAATAATCGCACTAGCAATGCGTTCCTGTGCTGTTGTTAAGAAAATCTTGTCAATCCTTGTATGCATGCCAGTTTCTGAACTTATCTACTAGAAACACTTCCACAAATACTAAACAAAGCAGCCTTTATAGCGTCCACCACAATTTTTCAATGATGAGAGGTTGTTAACCAAGATGTTTTCAATACGATTTATTGAAAGCATATCAAGCATATAATCTGACTTTGGATAGTTCGGCGTTGACTTCTCATTACACTATTAAATGAACTCCACAAAATGTATGGGACTCGTTGGACGACAATACAGAAGTATTTGAGCAAATAGTGAAGGTATCGCGGATGGCATCTGTGTATCAGCAGCACTTTTCAAACAATCCTTTATTTTTGTTTTCATCTCGATAAGACCCGCAGCTACCGCAGCTTCCGTGAAACTATTGTAAACAATACCATCAATTGTCCGAAGGTTTTCAAATGATGATGCACCATGACTATAGAAAAGAAGTTTACGCAATGCATACAGCTCGCTCAACTTCGGATTTACGGCCAGAGACGAGCTATACGACAACATCTTTTTCATAGCGTACATGTTCCTTGCCGTTAAACTAATATTGCTCCACTATTTCGATCTAAGCCATTTGCTTAGCACTTACATCATTGTCTACCAAATCAAAGTATGCCAATAATCGACTTTTTGGCATTATTTTTCGTGCTGCAGTGCCCTTGAAGTACACGGGCTGTTGATCTGGAAGACGAGCAGACAAAGAGATCACTGTGCGCGTAGTGCACCTGCATAGGGGAACGAGCAATCGATGTGCAGCTTCGATATGCGGCAAATAACGAGACTCCAAAAAGACTTTCCGCATATCTACATCCACGAAACTATCACGATTAGGTTCAATTTCTGCATGTTGTCTTGATCCTTGAAAGCCATAATCGAACAGCAACACTTTACGTTGATGTGGAATTTAAATCCTGACAAGATGTGCATTGTAATGAATGACATCTTCATTAAAAGCTACTATGACAATCTTCTTTCCGACACATTTACCATCGTTTCTTCTACGGCAAAGCGGGTAGCCATCATCAGTAAGTTCAGTTTCTTGTCGAAAAGGCTTTGGGAAATGTTTCTCACAGAAGTTTGGTTTACTTGATCTACACGCATAATCTGGATGAGATCTGGTAGGGCGATGCACCATAAATCGAGCAATTGGATTGAAAAGTCGCAGCTTGGCCACAGCATCTGGATCATGAGTATTGGAATAGTCGGGCAAATCCGCTAAAATGTATTCATCAATTTTTCGCGAAGTCATTAGCTTCTCTTGCAGAGTGACAAGTATGTCACATGTGGCATTACTCTTTTCTGATACTCCACGCTGTACTGTAGAGCAACCACTTTGCCAAACAATTGCTTGTCAACGATTTTCTCAATGAAACTCTGCAGACGCAATCTGACACCCAAGCGCAAAGATGAGAGTCGGTGATCCAAGAATCGAATTGCGTCACCAAGTTTTCACGTATTTCCGGCCATTCCTGATTATTACCCTTACTCCTCAGACATCGCCGAATGGCGGTGCTCACTTCATCAGAGATAAAGGGCATAGAGAGATAGGCATGCAGAGCGTCGCCAACAACAGAAAAGATTCCATTCTGTATACCCTTTATCTCTGATGAATTGAGCACCGCCATTTGGCGATGTCTGAGGAGAGCAGGGTTGGATTCAGTCTTGGTAGTAGACATGCCCCCGAACAATTTGAAACGCATTCTTGTTCGGAATCGCATGTACGACCGCAGCTGACCACACCAAACTGTCTGATATGTCCCACAGCAAAGGATGGCGACTGTATGAGTACAGGGGTTGTCTACCTCAACTCATGCAAAAGTTGCGGTGACTATATCGAGGAAACAGCGCTCCCACTATGCGTACGCATCAAAGAACATCTCAGTGGCAAAGAAAGATCACGCCCATCCACTCCACTGGGCGCCCACAGAGTGCACGAGCATCAAGGAATGGATTTTAAAGTGATAGAAATCTTTGCGCGTGAGCCTCAAACATCTACTCGCAAAATATTAGAAGCGTTCTGGATTCATTTCAAACACCCTAAATAAACCGCAAGGAAGAGTGCCTTCCTATCACTCGCGAATTCACACCATATCTAGATCAGATTTTCTGATCCGTTGAAGACATGTTTAATCATCTACTCACGCGATCAGTCAGCGCTCGTTTATACTTAAAAATTCTTTTGGCGATCGAAAAGGTGAGTATTGCGCGTGGCAGCTTGTTTGTGATCCGAAAGAAAACTTAGAAATTTGCTTGTGAGGCTAACGAGATGCTTGATCGGGTAAATACAGTTTTTTAAAGCTGTTAACCAAGGTTGGTAGCAAAACTTTATTGTACGAAAAGCCAACGTTTCGGCGGTCCGTCCGCCTTCTTCAGGGCTTCCTGAAAGATCGAGACTTTGAAAACTGCCCGCCCAGACACCGTGTTTGGCAATGGATTTAGTTTGACTTTGTGATGGAGTGGCAGAGTAGATGTTGAAAGCCTGACCTCAGCCTTGCCAGATCAAGATGTAGAAACCGAACGACCAGTAGTGCGCTGCAGCTGCTCTATGAATAAGTATGATAATTAGTGTGAACAATGCCCTTTATATAGTCATAGAAGATCTCGAATTAGAATCGACATAGCGTTTGATAAGAGAACCACTGTTAATGGCAACGCCTTCATCTTTGCGATTCATTTTTGGTGATTTGGACGCTATCCAAAAGGCCTCCAACGTTTTGCGGGCTATTAACTCTGACTCGTGCGACAAGATCGTTACAATGACTTGAAAGTACTGGTTCTCATGACATAACCTTCAATGTGCACCCAAAGTGCACGTCGAAGGATATGTCAGCAACATTTGTGCATATGTTACTTGCTGAGAAAGGTTTTACTGCTTAAGTTCACCATCTGTATCATTTCTCCGGGCTTACCTACAATCAGAGTTGAAGAAACGAGCTTAGCAACGCGAAACAACTTCCGGCAACAATAAAATTGTCACTTTCTACAAACATACTTATAGTATAGAGACTAACAAGTAACGATCAATAAAAACAATAAAGAAACACGCAAAATCATACGGGGGGGTTAGACGCAACAGGCCTGCTCCAATTCAAATTTGAATTTGTCCACCGACAGACTAGTGGGGTGAGGGACTATACAAATCCAATTTTTTCTCATCAAAAAAGCTTAACGCAGGTTATTAGCACTTGAATGATGATGACGTGATGCCCGTAAGTCGATGAGCACGCCAATTTTGCGCAGGAAAAAGCCCATAACTCGCTTCGGAATGATGCGTATGGTCAGACTATATATGTCCCTTGCCAAAAGGCCGAGCTAAGTTAGGTAGCTTCCCTTGTAAGTTCCAATGTGTTTCGTCCTATAGCGGAAAGGCGATCAGCTTACCTAGTGAAAACATGGATCACAAATCAAGATAACAGCTTACCACTATCGAAAAACCGATGATGCAACAAACTCCCTCGACGAGAATTTTTACCGCTTTGTGCTTTCCCTCGAGAAAGCACAAAGCGGTAAAAATCGCCACGTGACAGAAATTTAGAGGACGGTAAGTTAGCAGACTCATCTTCAGTATCTTTATCACACAACT